TGAGAGGGGTCAGCCGGGTTCTCCTAGGCAACGACAATTTCAGGCAGTGCGCCCTAAGAAGTGGTGCACCTATCATAGGGTTAGTAGCCATAATACATCAGAGTGTATGAGGGGTCAAGGGTTGTGTTATGTCTGTGGTGAACAGGGTCATTTCGCGGCGGCATGTCCCTTTCCGTCGCGCCGGCAGGCCACGACACCACTTCCTGCCGGCAGAGGAAACTTTTCATGTGAGCCCACAAGTCGTGTCTCCCAAAGGGAGACCAACAATCCAGGTTCGGGTCAATAGTAAAGTCCTGACAGCATTTGTTGATACAGGTAGCGAAGTCACCATTCTTAAAGCTTCAGTGGCCTCTAGTTTGTCTGACACAAAGATATTACGTAGCAGTAAGACTCTTCAGGGCGTTGCTGGGGCTGCGATGTCAGTACTGGGAGAAATGGATGTACTTTTTACTATAGGTGAATCAAAACTTTTGCATCGTGTTTGTGTTGCAGATAAAATTCATTTTCCAGGAGACTTGCTGATGGGAATGGATTTCCTACGCAGGTTAGACATGAAGTTATTTACCGGTAACAAATCTTCCAAGGCTTATTTGTTGCTAGGTGAGTCAATTTCCCAATCAAGTACACTGGAGAGGACAGTTTGGGCTGTGTGTCTGTGCCTTCGGTGGTAGAAGTAGCTAAAGAAAGAAGGGCAACACAGACCCTCGCATAGCTCCGGTTCATGTGGTTCAGACAGAGTTCATTGAGCCTAAGTCAGGGCAGTTTGTTAGTGCTGCTGTTGCTAGAGGTCTCCCAGAGTCTAGGGCAATTTTAGTGGGGGAACAAACCCAAAGTTCATTGTTCCTCGCTCCATCTCTGCTGTACAGGGCAGAAGAACGTCAGTTTGGGTGGTAAATCCAGATGCAAAACAAAGGAAATTGACACAGGGTACTTGTATAGGTTTTGCAGAGCAAGTAGGAGCAGAGCAGTTGGTGGATGTTAGTGCAGAGGGTAATGTGACAGGAAAAGAACCCAGGGTGAAGGAGGATACAGTGACTCATCCCTCCTCAACTGGGCATGCAGGACGAGATTTCAGCCCAGAGGCTGCCGAGTTTTCACAACCCAAGTTCACTGATGCCACTACTCAGGTACACTCCCTTGCTGAAATAGACGCAGATGAACTGGCCCCTAGATCTTGCAAGGTATGGCCAGCAGATGAACAAGTAGCCGAGTGTCCTTCAGATACTTCAGATGATGATATCGAGCTCTGTAACTTTAGTTTCGATAGTCTTGATGAATATTATGCAACACAGGACTTTGGTTATTCAGACGAAGAGTATTTTGTTTTCCCAGATACTCCAGCTCTGAGTGGTTCTGATGCCTGCTCTGATGATTCTGTCCTCTCTCCAAATAAATCAGGCATTAATGTAGTAGAAAGTAGTGATTCACCAAGTAAACAGGTAGATTTGGTCACTTAGATTCTGTGCAGCAAGAGGAACTCGGTAAAGTTTTGAATAAGTTTCCTCGACTCTTCTCTGGGGACAAAGCAACTATCGGTAAGGTGCCTGGTATACAGCACCACATTGTTACTAAAACAGATCAACCTGTGTGCGTTAGGCAGTGGCGTCTTCCTCAGGCAACCAAGGAGCTGATACGTTCAGAGTGTGACACAATGCTTAAGCAAGGGGTTATTGAGCCTTCCACGTCACCCTGGCTCTCTCCAGTAGTCCTAGTAAAGAAAAAGGATGGGACAGTTCGCTTTTGTGTTGACTACCGGGGCTTGAATCATGTCACTGCTGCTGATAGTTATCCCTTACCTCGAATCGACGAGGTCATAGACAGTTTGACGGGCAATGTTTGGTATACCGTACTGGACAGTAGAGCAGCATATTGGGCAATAGAGGTAGCTGAGGAAGATAGGCCAAAAACAGCTTTTACTGATGGAGCACGCCTCTTCCAGTTTCAAAGAATGCCCTTTGGGTTATCCACGGCCCCAACTACATTCCAGAGGACGATGAATGTTGTGCTGTCAAGTGTGCTTGGGAGACACACGCTAGCGTATCTGGATGATGTAGTTGTGGCCAGTAAGACATTTGAAAGCCATCTAAATAATCTTGCTGAAACTCTAGCACTGTTAGATGAGGCTGGTATGAAACTTAATCTTGCTAAGTGCTTATTTGCCAAACACCAGATAGAGTTCCTTGGTTTTGTTGTAAGCCCTGATGGTGTGTTACCCAATCCCATTAAGGTTCAGGTCATTAATGATATGAAACGTCCCAGATCTGTACGTGAGGTTCGCCGCTTTCTGGGGGCATGTGGGTTCTTTCGGCGGCATGTACAGGGTTTTGCCAGTGTTGCCCGTCCATTGACGCAACTTACAAAAAAGGGTGTGTCATTTACATGGTCACCAGAAGCGGAGAAAGCCTTTAAAAATCTTAAAGACGCCCTTGTTTCAGCTCCCATTTTGCGTCTACCTGACTTTGAGCGACATTTTGAAATTCATACAGATGCTTCTGCACAAGCTCTCGGCGCAGTTCTTCTTCAGCGTAGTGATAGTGGAGAGCCCCAGGCCGTTTCATATTGGTCGAGGACGTTGAAAGATGCGGAGTCTCGATATCCTGCCATAGATCTTGAGGCTCTTGCTGTAGTAGAGGCTGTTCGGGTATTCGACCCTTATGTGTATGGGAGACCATTTACTATATACACTGACCATCGCCCTCTCACCTATGTGTTCTCCCGCAAAACAAAGTCGCCTCGTATGAGCAGGTTTGCCCATGAGTTGAGTTTTTATGATTTTAAACTAGTATATAAACCTGGTCCATCAAATTATGTTCCTGACTTGCTGTCGAGGCCTTTTATAGACTCTCTGCCATGCTCACAAGATGAGGCCCTTGCTGTTAATGAGAATCATAGTGTAAACTCGGACACTCCTGTCAACCTTGCCACTCTCGCCTCTGCTGTGTTACGAGAGTACCAGTTGAAAGAGGACCTCTGGAAGGAGATCATAGAATTCTTAGAGGGTAAGAAACTTCCTAGAAGGGCCTTGCCAGCATCCCTTCACGAATTTGAACTTGATGATGGAGTTTTATATCACCTGAAATCTTTGCCGGATCGAATTATCAGGCAGGTGTGTGTTCCTCATTCACTGCAGTCGCAAGCCTTACATCTTGCTCATGACCATCCTACTGCAGCTCACCCTGGTGCTCTACGTACATACCACAATTTGCAAAATAGCTACTTCTTTCCAAACATGTTCCGGCTATGCAAATGGTACGTGCAGCACTGTACAGCTTGTCAGCACAGGAAAGGTTCACGTGAACGTGCCGAGATGCAGTGTCGTCCACCACCCAGTGGCCCATTGGAGCTTGTGTCCGCAGATCTCATGGATCTCCGAGCTTCCGTGGGTGGCTATCGATATGTTCTGTCAATAGTGGATCACCACTCCAGGTACTTGCAGCTCGTTCCACTCAGGAATAAGACAGCAGAAACGGTTCTTCGGGGATTTTATGATCACTTTATAACCCTTTTTGGACACCCCGACAGATAATGACAGACAATGGGGGCGAGTTTGCTAATGAACAGTGGCAGGAAGTGTGTAGACAGCTGGAGATACGATGTTCGTTCACCATAGCATATCATCCTAGTTCAAATGGTTTAGTTGAACGGACAAACAGGGTTGTGAAGGATGCCCTTGCTATGCTTGTGGCTGATAAACCAGGGAGGTGGCCGCTATATCTGACCTCCGTAAGGTTAGCCATAAATTCAGCCATACATCGCTCGGTGGGGGACCAGCCTCTTTACCTCCTTACTGGGAAGATGGCCTTGTTTCCCAGGGGACTCACCAACCAAGTAACGACGGACACTAATCTCAGGGTGCAACAGCTGGCTAAGGCCAGGCAGCTTGCCATTGCTGCTTCTCTCCGTTCCAGAGAGGCCAATGCACAGGCGCACAATCGGAAAGTTCGCTCTACCTGGCAGCCGGAGGAAGGTGCGCTCGTCCTCCGTAGGGACTTTACCGGAGGGGCGTTACAGGACCGATGGCAAGGTCCCTGTAGAGTGATCAAGCAAATAGGTCCCGTTGTATTCGAGGTTAAAGACCTTCAGCCCCCTTATCGTATAGTGAAGCAGCACAGAGATCAGTTGAAAATGTATCTCCCTCCTGCTGAACTAGACTATGTTGAGGTTGGAGACAGACTGCCTTCTGATCCCCCAGGTGTTGACGGTCCGTTGCCAGGCCGTCCCCCAGACGTAGCAGCACCTGTACATGTGCTTGATGACTTCGGGTATGACCGGACGGAAGACGAATTTAGTAATTCGGGACCCCTGAACAGGTCTCCTAGTGTTTATCATTTCCTTTACTCTGGTGCAGATATGAGCACAGAAACGAACAATGATTACAGTGACTACGAGGTTTGGGAGGAATGAATGAGATGGCGTGACTGAAGGTGTACTGTGGTGTGCTTGCTCAGTCGCTCATTGTCGAGTCGGTAGGTGTCTTATTCTTTTAATTTTTGTTCTCCTAATTTTCATGTTTTATGTTTTACTTGTGCTCTTAATTTCAATCTTATTCAGTTTTATGTTCTCTTTGAAATGTGTTCTTCTTAATTTTAATTTTGTTCGTTCTTAATTTTAATGTTTTGAAATCGTTTCATTTTTCTCTTAATTTTCATGTTTTATGTTTTACTTGTGCTCTCTTAATTTCAATCTTATTCAGTTTTATGTTCTCTTAATTTTAATGTTTTGAATCTTGTTTTATTCGTGTTCTCTTAATTTCAATGTCTTGAATTCTGCATTATTTTTTCTCTTAATTTTTTAAAGTTTTTGATATTGTATTGGTTTAATTTGTTTTACATTTTTTCTGTTTTGTCAAGTTTTAGATTAAGTTTGTAATACTTGTGGACCACCTTGCCCAGTCAAAAGTTAAAATGTATCATTCGGTGACTCCTTGTAACCTACATATATGCCATGCTGACCTTATGTTCTCTTTCCAGTTATGATGTTCATGTATATATTTATACCGATTATGCCCCAGGCAACCCCTTAGCCTTAGCGCGAGAAGAGAAGGCGACCCCTCGGCTCTGGTGTGAGATGAGAAGGCCTGATGTGTATGGGGAGGTCGTAGGTCCGCTGAACTATCGGACCATACGACCCAGGGCCCGGAGGGTTGTAGTGGGACTATCCGCCCACTTTGTCCTACCACGGTACCCCCCCCCCCCCTTTTGGTATGACAAGTCCATGGCACGAGTCATTCAAGGAACCCAACGGAAAATGGGCACTGATATTGTTTTATTTATCCTTCTGTGTTTTTATCCTATGTTTGTCTTCCGTGATGGAGATGCGGGGTGCCGCCCGTAAGCATGTTGCAACGTACGTGGGCTTAGCCACGTACGTGCTAATAAAATTACCACTCCTATGCTCAGTTTAAGTCGAAAATTGTATGGCGTCTGCTAGTGACGTCATACCAGTGGTTGTCATGCCGTCATTAGTGACGTCATGAGCCGTGACTGCAGCCACTCACGAGTCTCCACGAGAAGGTAGACAATACCCCTGTAGAGGGCGCTGATACCCCCTGGTACTTTTGGGGTAGTACCATTACCGGGAGATCTGGTCTCGCCTCCTTCCTGTTCGGACCCCGCTGCTACACGTGACCTGGACTTCACCGCTCATCCGCTTTGGCCGCTACCACTACATGTCCGATGTACGACGTAGGGGGTGGCCAGGTGGTACTCGCATGTGGTGATTGAAGGTAAAAAGGAAGGTGAACAGATCTCCGAGGGACACTGGCCTAGAATTGTCCCGGTATTGTACGAGAAGTAGCAGTACTGCGTTACTGTTACCTTACATATATATATATATATATATATATATATATATATATATATATATATATATATATATATATATATATATATATATATATATATATATATATATATAATATATATATATACATATATATATATATATATATATATATATATATATATATATATATATATATATATATATATATATATATATATATACATATATATATATATATATATATATATATAATATATATATATATATATATATAGTGTGTGTGTGTGTGTGTGTGTGTGTGTGTGTAATGTGTGTGTGTGTGTGTTTGTGTGTGTGTGTGTGTATGTGTGTGTTGTGTGGGTGGGGTGGTGTGTGTGTGTGNTATATATATATATATATATATACATACATGAATATACAAACTATATACATAAACATACAAACTATATACACAACTATACAAACATACTAACCTTATGATGCGGTGAATATAGTACAAAATCCAGTTGACCCTGCCTGACCTCTGCTGTTCCCTCATGACCCCGTAAACCACCAACAAGCCACTCATGAAGAAAAACGTGTCCACGCTATAGGTCGCGTTGACAAGCGTCTGGTCAATCACTTTACTCGTCATAAGCTAAAAGGATTGGGAAGAAAATGTGAATGAGGAATATAATCTTTTTTTTCTTTTACTTTTTTTCTCTAAAATGATTGGAAAGAAAATGTTAATGAGGAATATAATTTTTTTTCTTTTATTTTTTTTCTCTAAAAGGATTTGAAAAAAAAGATTATATTCCTCACTCACATTTTCTTTCCAATCATTTTAGAGAAAAAAATAAAAGAAAAAAAATTATATTCCTCATTCACATTTTCTGTCCAATCCTTTTAGACAGAAAAAAAATCAAAGAAAAAAAATTATATTCCTCACTCACATTTTCTTTCCCATCCTATTAGAGAAAAAAAATAAAAGAAAAAAAAAATTATATCCCTCATTCACATTTTCTTTCCCATCCTATTAGAGAAAAAAAATAAAAGAAAAAAAAAATTATATCCCTCACTCACAATTTCTTTCCAATCCTCTTAGAGAGAAAAAAATAAAAGAAAAAAAATTATATCCCTCACTCACATTTTCTTGCCAATCCTTTTAGAGAAAAAAGAATCAAAGAAAAAAGATTATATTCCTCACTCACATTTTCTTCCCAATCCTTTTAGAGAAAAAAAATAAAAGAAAAAAAAGAGGAAAAAAAAAAAAAAAACGCACACACACAAAAAAGG